TTGGGAAGGAAGGAAGGAAGGAATGGGGGGGGTGAGTGGTTTCATTGGCCACTCGAGTGTGTGAGTAACATCTTCCGAGTCTGCAGTGGAGAGAGCTTCTCCTTGTGCTCCTTGCGTGCATCTGTCCCGAGTTTTAGTGTGCGGGTATAGCTGCTGGCAGTCAGCATCCAGCCGCACTGCTCCTGAGGAGGAGAACAGGGCTCCAGTTACTTTACCCAGACCAGAGCTATATTTTGCAGACGAGCGCGTTCCAGTGCTGCATCCGAAGCGGGCCAAAAAAAAAAAAAAAATGGACAATGCAGGGATCAAGTCATTAAAGTTCAGGGGCCTGGAAGGGCCCCAAACGAAGCAGCTGGGCTTCAGCACCACGGATAGCGCCATAGCAGAAGCGCTCCAGGGCAGGGGCTCCCAAACTTTTCACGTTGCCAGATTCATATTAAAGCAGGAACCCAGATTGATTCTATTTTGTCTTGATTCTGTTTGACAAAGAGTTAAATGGCAATTTAAAACTACCTCTTTTCTTGTGAATAATTGTAATTGGATATCAGTTGAAAGTCTACCTTTTCTTCCTGAAATGAAACTAACGCCTTAGGTTGGGGGCCTGTCAAAGACCACGGGAAGTTCCCAAACTCCACTTTGGCTTTAGCTACTTTAATGGACGTTGAAAACCAGACACAGTGATAGTTTACCCTCACCTGGAGAACAAACGTTACTTTTGAAAGTGACTTACTTTGCCATATGTCCACTATAAAACATGCCCCAGTAATGTGAAGTCTCAATGACACACACACGCACACATGCTCATACACAACCAGCACTCAACAGTGTTTGGCAATAAGCCTAAGATGCCTGCCATGTCCTCTATAGTCATGTCTCAGCAGTTCACTGCATTGCTGCTGTTGTTCACTCATAACATAACAAGATCTCCAAAGTCATTAAAAAAACATCCTTCCAGAGCGAGACGAAATGCCGTTTTACTGAGAGACAAATGCAACACCTTCTCCTGTGTCCTCCCATCACTTGCAGTGTTGTAGGATCTCCAGTAGTTTCAGCTGGAGCAGGCTCTCAAATTCAGGGCAGACAATTAGAAACTCCATTAAGCACAGTTGATTCCTCTGAGGTAGTTGGACCAAAAGCAGCACGCACACTGGGATCTGTAGGACTCGGATATAAAGCGCCACCGGTCCTTATCCTGCATCTCTGTTCACTGTTAGATGAACCTTATGACCTCAATCAAAACCTTATGAGTCATCTCACAGGTGTTGACACAAAAGGATGCTATGCATGAATGCAGAAATCTAGTTCACGCTGTTTGAGATGAAGCAGCGTCGGGTGAAGGCTTTGTTTGAAGTTTGCTCCGTGTTTATTTCAACTTGTGTGAGCCACTTTACTTTACACTTCAAATCTTTTTGTGTTTGATTCTCTGTTTTTGAACTGTTGTGGTTCTTTTGCAAGAACTCCTAAAGAGGAGTTCCACTGTGTCTTTGCTGCTCATCCAAGACTATAAACATCATCATAAAAATATTATATTATCTCTTTCTGCAAATCTGAACTTGTCTGTCTATTGTTCATCAGCAGTTACACGTTATTCACTCAGTATAAGAAAAGCACCTATCACACAAAGAGAGATCATACACATAACTTTCCAGAGGCAGGGGCCACAACCTCGGCTGGTAATCTGTCTGCATCATTCATTGCTCTTGGTGACGTTAGCTTGTATAAGATCATGTTAAGCTGGAAGAGCAGAGGGTGTTTTGCGCTCCAGATTCAGGAACTATGCCAAATTCTACCCCCTGGGGATTTCTGTTGAAAGATGTCTCTGAGTAGGCTTAAATCTTTGCACCTGCTTTCCTTTGTGGTGTCAAGTTTGCACCTGGCTTTTCTCGTCTATAAGTTAAATACAGTAGTTGGGGTGTCCTGTATTGCAGCAGCATGCTTGTATTGTGGGTGGCATCGTGGAGAAGCAACCAGTAACAAAAGCTTGTCTTCCTCTGTGATAATGTTTATTTCTTATAGTTGTCATTCTGTCAGTTTCCTTGTGACTGTTTGATCATTGTAACATCAGGTTTCATTGAAGTTACTTTTGGTTTTATTCTTTCGAGTCAGTCCTGATGTCTCTGCGTGGCATTTTTAGCGGAATCAAACACCCAAAGCCAAACTATTTTCCTTTCTTGTCGAGCACCATTTATTTTAATTACTAACTTAATAGTCTTAACTAACAGTTGGTTGTCATCTCTCTGCTCATGTTTGTCTGGTGTTGTGGCTTTTGTTAGAGCAACAGTAAGATTAGTTGTTGAAATTGTTTACTGAGTGAGTGATAAATGTTGACAAATGATCTTGTTTGCAATGCATGGATCTTGCCTTTGCTTCCCATTTTGCGGCACTAAATCCAATTCAGATTTATCTTTGTTTTATCCCTACAACTTGGGCTTTGTGCAGTTAAAGTATATACCCGTCACACTAGCTCTAAGCTGTGTAATTTGTGTTGGTGTAGTGTAAATGTGGTAATGAGCACTGTGTGTGAGCCACAGCATTGCACTTACTCTCACACATCTCTCCCCTTTGCCTCCTGGAGACTTGCCAAGATAGTTTAGCAGGCATTACACAATGAAAACTAGTTTCAGCTATTGTGAGTCAACACATCTGTGAGGTATCTCAAGGACACATTAGAGTGACAACCTTGTCTACTAGTGTCTCTCTGAACACCCGTGGTTCATTCTTTTTCCACAAGGGGGCAGCAGGCATAAAGAAATGACTGGAAGTTACTTGTGCAGTGGTGGCATCTGAAAGAGGGGCCACAGAGATGCTGGGCTTTTGGTTTGTTTCTTTTAGTTTTCAGAGATATTTAGTTCCTATGCTGCAGTGTACAGTGTGTGCATCATGGTACATACTTTGATCTAGCACAGTTAGACGAACTGAAAACACAAACTGTATACTCAACACATTTAACGCAACATGTTGAATGATGAAAAAACATTTAAAAATGTCAGCATCATCCTGTTTGTGTAAATGAGCGAGCCATTTTAATTGACAATTCGAATGATTGCTATATATTGCCTGCAGTGCATTTCATAGCAGCAGTGTTTTATTGCTCGTGGACGTATCTCAGCCGGGATGAAGTGAACATCAATTGTCTCTGGTAAAGGGAGGATGCCTAGCAGATCCTCATTAGGGAATACTTTATCTTTCCCTGACAAAGATGTATGTGCTATGTCTTCACAGCGCTGTACCGCAAAATCCCTCCCATTTCTGAGAAAGCTCACAGACCACCAGATTTTCTAAGAAATGTATATCATACTCCTGCATATCCGTTAGAATGATTGATGCTATATTGAAATTGTTATTGATAATTTTTTATGCTGCAGTGACATATTCATTTCTACCACTCACTGGCAACTCAATAAGAATACAAAGCTAGATTAAGGGTTTTGATTTAGACGCCAACCTTTAGTTTCTAACTTTTCTTTTGCTATCTGTGTTCTATCTATCTGTCTGTCTGTGGGAGAAGTCGTCTCTCTCTCTCTCTTTCTCTCTCTCTTACGCACCCAGGGACAGACATGCAGAAACACACAAAGGGCTAACCAGGATACCAGCTTCACATTGAACACTTTCATCCATTATATCCAAATCTTACGTAAGGGGGGGATGTGGGGGTGCAGACAGTGGTAGTCAAAAGAAAACCGTCTCCCTCTCCCTGTCTCTCTCTCTCTCCCCGAGTTCGGTTGGAGAGAGAATGTCAAACCGAGTCCTAGAAAAAGCCTCTAAATGTTTCATGCTGTTTCATCACAGGGAAGAGAGAGGTTTTGCTGTGCTGCTGAAGACTCACGTGTTCTTCCTCCCACAGTGAATGTGTGCGTGTGTGTGTGTGAGTGTGGTGTGTGTGCTCCCCAGCCCATGCAATAATAAACATGAAACCAGAGGCATTCTCACAGACAAATGCTGGTACACACACACGCACACACACGTTTGCCGGACAATTTTGGGGCGATTTTTACCTTTTATTGTGATGAAGATCATTCCCTTAATTCCAGTAAAAACAGAATCATTCGGTTGGTTTGCTCTTGTCCAGATGTGATCGCAGAATACATGATGCTCTCTATGCACGTACATCCATGTGTGCTCTTCCTCTGTCCTGCAAAGAGTCCTAAGGGCAGGTTTTTTAAAGCTTTGGTGTTACAGTGTTTTTCATGGTTTGTGAAGAACTATTGTGCTGCTGGTGAAGATGTTATTTGTAATGTTTTGGTGTGTTTTTGGTGTCTCATGGGCAAGTCCATTTCATTCCCATAAGCCATAAATCACACATACATGTGTTGTGTCACTGTCTGGGTCTTCAGTGTACCATTTGTGTTTTTGGGGGTGTGCAGAAACCTGTTGCAGGTAATCCTTTTAGCCAGATTGAATATGTTCTTTATGGCATGTGTGGGGTGCCACGGGGGCTTTAGAAAATAAAATGCGCGTTAAGTATAAGCTATGAGGATAAGAATGCCGTGTAGTGGCCTATCAACCAAAGCTGATTAAGATTTATCTTTTTCATGCACACTGCTCTCAGAACAGTTCACTGCGGCCCCCTTGCTCCCCGACGTGCCTCGTCTGAAAACTGGCTCGCAACTTCGGATTTTAATTGTAATTCAAAGAGACAATTGCGAGATCCCCCCCCCCTTCAGACTGGCACGTTATCCCAAAGGACTAGAAATCACGCGCACGCGCATCCATTTTCCCCTGCATAAACAATCGACCCATCATTCCCCCACTTTACCCCCTTTCTTTTTTTTTATGTATTACATTAGCGTCTTTTCTTCCTGGAAATCATATATCTTTACGCTTGCCATCTCTCCTCCGAGAATTCCTAATACGAACCTCAATCACGTATGATTGCGTTAAAAGAGTTGAAGAGGGAGTGAGGGGGGAGAGAGGGAGAGAGAGAGAGAGAGAAAGAGAGAGAGAGAGGGAGGCTAAGGACCGCGACCGTCCAGTCTCTCGCTGTCGGCGATGTAACACACCGACAGCATCCATTCGGGACGCGCTTGGAAATAATGCTTAGTGCTACTTTATTATTTGTGCACTACAACAAAAAGCACTCCGGCGTGTGTCCGCCTCAACTAATTGTTGCTTTTACAGACGAGAATCCCTCCCTGCAGGCTTAAATTACATCTCTGCAGCATCCTTGCAGAGTAGCCTCTGCTGCCGATTCCGTTTTTTTCTTCTTCTTCCCCGGCTGCATTCAGAAGGTGCCATCGACAGAACCGGAGACTGGGCTCACGGTTATCCCGGGCTCCCGCACAGCCTCCTTTCCTGGACCAGCAGCGGACGGTCTCATTCATCGATGTGCGATTGGAGTAAATAATTAGAAACAAACAAACGATAAAAAAAAAAAAAAACGAAAAAAAGTTGGGATCCTTCTCCAGCCCAGGCACGAGGGGGTGTTGTGCATGGATTTAGGTTGATGCGAATTATTATTTCAAATAAAAAGGCGTCAGGAAGCCAGAGGAGAGAGGCTGGTGTGCAGATGAGGATTACGAAGTCGTGCTCGTCACACGCGGCACCGTCCACCTGGAATACCTGAAGCTCTCCCATGACACACATCTGCATCAACTTATCAGGACTGTTGCATGTATCCAGGACTGATATGTCGGCCCCTGTGGCCTAGCCCGTGGGTGTATGTTTTATGTGAGATCGGTCGCTGTTGATTCGAAGCCCCGAGTGCCATAAACTCGCAGCGGCTGAATTATTACACGCTACTGCCCCCCTCCCCCGTCCCCACTCCCCCCAC